AAGAAAACGAAATATAATTAATTTTTATTATATTTTAATTTTTTTATGAGTACAGTTACTTTAAGTGCACGCGCCCAATACGCGTTAGACTTTTTGGCGACCGCTGGCACTTCACTTGGCTTGACGTTTCCCAGTGCGATGTTTTTTTTTTTAATTTTTGTCATAACATATCTATTATTTTTGGTTTTTTCATTTGAATTAGAAACACAGCGAGTATGAAAACCTTTTTCTCCACTTTTTGCGTTCGTATTAATGAAATCTCCCACAGTTCAGTGTTATTACACGCAGTCGCAACTGATTAATCCTTTTTCAGAAACCTAGACTGAGCTGCACTGGAAGTAATATTTATTCCTCTCCCTTAGACGGTGACTGAAACTTTGCCCTACCAACCATCAGCTACTCCTTTGATAACAAAGAAGCTCCCAAGCAAAGTACTATAATTCAAGAATGAAAAAGCTCTGAGTTTAAGCCTTTACGGATACCGTAATTCACTTTGCTTGTTTTGCTTTTGTCACACTTTCGATTTCCTCTTAATAGTGCATAGCAGGCAAGCGATTGATTTTAGTACTTTGAAATTTTTTCGAAGCTTCTGGTGGGACACTATCGGTGTGAATGGCCTGGCGTTGTTTTGATGAGGCACAAAACCCCAGCACTTGGTCAAGCTCGAGGCTTCATCAATTCTTTCAAAACTCCCTTACTTTAATAAATGTTTTGACGTGTGCGCTTCAACGGGTCAATCTCAAAATTGTGACGTATATACAAACAAAAACAAAATCTAAAGGCGCCATCATTCTTGCTATAGCCTACAGGTCGGCTAGAAGTTCTGAATTAACCAATGAGGTCGCTCATACTTAAAAAATACTTCAAAATCTATATACTCCTCCTGAAAAGCGGAACATTTATCTTTAATCGCTTAAACTCCAGTAAATAAGCGGCTTTTTTCTTTAAGCTATTTAATGTCCCTGCATATTTATATGTATCTATAATCATTTTGCATGCTGAAACCAAAGTGACACCCAACATTTGAGTTCACTGCGTTGCCTCCGACTTTGTTAATAACTGAACAGCAAACAAAATTTTCGAAAACTACTGACTTGAGTCAGTTTTCGTTTCACTTTTCTTAGTCTCCATCATCTACCTTTTCGGTTAGTTCACCTTTTATTTCGTTAACATCGAGTTAATCACTTTATCTTCGACTGCACCACGCTTGAGTGGCACCAAACGCCCACACGAGCGTCGGTACGTGCACAGGAGATATATGTATGTACACACTCCCGTTTTATTTGGGTTCATGAACCGTTGCTTAGCAGTCGGCTTGCTTGTTTAAAGACCTTCTTACGCTTTAACGAAATAACCGACGAAAAAACAAAAAAAAAAAAACAAAAAAAAAACAAAAAAATATGAAATAAAACGGAAAAGTACAGTGAGACGCCAAGTAAAAAGGTAAGATGAAAATGGAAAAGCTTGAGCAGTAGCAACAACAAACAAAGAGCCAGCACCAACCAAGATAGCTCCAATAAGACACAACGGAGCACAAGTCTAGGAAGTTTGCCCAAAATAGCCCAGGCCAATGGCTTCAACGTGAGGTTACGAAAAGGTGCAGCAGCAGCAGCAGCAAATGGTTAAATGTTAACGTGTTGTAGGTATATATATGAGTGTATGCGGTAGTTTATTTGCATGTATATGTATGTGAGTGTGTGTGTGTGTGTGTAAAGTCATGCCTTGAATAGCACAAAGCAATGCAGTTAGTTATGCTACATGTGGCTGCCACTTCAATTTATTGTTGTTGCACGGTTTTTTGCTTCTCCTTTTGACTCTTTGCTTTTGTTGTTGCACTTATGTTGCAAATTGATAGAAATATATGCAGAATGAGTCGACCAGTCGAGGAAGAAGTAGAAAAAATTGTGGCAATTTGTTGCATGTACAGATATATATTTGCAGCAACAACCATCAACGGCACTATCATCTGCTGTCACACACTTCAATACATATGCGTTCCCGCCGCACCACGCATGAGTAACCTCATGTGTGAGTTTTAAGTGCTTTTTACAGGGTGACTCTTATAGATGAAATGAATATTTGTTGTTTGTAAGGTTCAATACTCTTGGTTTGTGCTTTTGAACATTTGAATACCCAATAACTGATTGTATCTACTACAAAAAGTCAACTCGCGATGGAACAAGAAAGGATATGCTGATCTGGTGGTAAGGCGTTAGAACTTGTATCTCAAATTCTCAGTATGCCCTCCGAAGTCTTTGCAAAACAAGGAAACTAGTACTTGGCACCCTGTATACGTATATGTACATATATAACAGCGGAAATAGTCTTCCACTTACTGTTTTTAGCTCTTCATTTTTTCGTTACCAGTTCAGGTTGAGATTATTTACTGCTTTCCTTCTTTTTTGTTGTTTTTGTTTTGTAATCATTTGCTGTGATGCTCACATACTCATATCAAAAAAACAAAGTAAGAATACAAATGTATCTGCCTAGTCATCATACATCCATTTGTAGCACACCCACATGTTGCACGTTTTCAGCTCGTTCATTTCGTTAGCCGCCTCAAATCCGTCTTTGTGGCTCTGGCCGAGTTTTACACCACATGCCACATTTCAATTTTATCTCTGTGCATGCAGCTTGCAACATCATTCTTCCTGCTCTTATGTAATGCACACGAAATACTCATATAAATTGGCTGTGTGGTTTACGGCGTATGTGTGAATGTTGATGCAGAAGTGGTTACCTGAGCGAATTATTTACACTCGTATTGGGGTCAATGCATACATACATACATATATCGTTGAACTAAAATTTCTCAATCTTTGTTTAAGAACTTAAAGTTTCAAGCCACATTAAAGGAGACTGGATGGCGCAGGATCATCCTCCCACCGGCAGAACTCGCAAAACTGGGCTGTTGCTGAGACAATTTACAATCCGGGAATTGAGGTTATCGATGAGATTGCCTAAAGTGTCATCAGCCTGGCTCCCGAGCCAGTACAGGAAATGCCCGTGTTGCTAAAAACGATACACGATTTCAGACGGATCAGAATAACATGGAGCGTTTCAACGATATGCAGGATCGCCGGGATTATGTGCAGAACTACCGAAGAAAAGCAAGCAGATTTTTGCTCACGCAGCCTCGAAAGTTTGCAGGGGGGCTTGTTGGCCTAATGGTAGGCCACACGCAAGCCAATTGGGAATCAGTAACGATGACACATGCAGGAAGTGTAGGGAGGAGGCATGACTGAGGCGCTGGAATATCTCAGCTTTTACCAGCTTATCTAGGACTCGTCATAGATATCGCGAAACTTCGCCGTTCCAAGGACTAGATAAGGTCCCTAAATTATATAACGAGAGACAGATCTATGAATTTTGTGCCCCAAAATTTTGGATGGGAGAAGAAAAGATTTACTACAATGGCCACTATATATTTTTAAGTATACTGTGCGCACTTGACGCACCACGGTCACTGCACAGATTTTAAAACCACGACTTGAGGGTACGCATCTGGTATGCCCAGCTACATGATCGGAGAGGTGCCGCTGCCATTTGGCTGAAGCCCTCGATAGACGGAAACCAAAAGGACTTTTGTCATATGTACATACACTACAACCAGCTTATAAAAAAACGCAAATTTAGCGTCGAATTCGTGGTGTGAGAGAGTCTCCGTTGTCGAGACCTGCCATTCACTTTGGTAGATGAACATTTAGCCGCAATTTACATCAAAGCGGGGATAGATACTTGAGTGCTTGAGAGGAAGTTCTGATCAAAGTGATCAACTTCGGGGCCCATATGGTTCAAATTCCTGCATATGTCTGTCAACATATCCAAAAAGGGGCCATCAAAATTGATCACGTTGTGATAGACGTGAGACATGTCCTCAGTGTTCTAGATGTCTCTGGTGAGGCATTTCTGCGACAAAATTCTTCCAAATAAAAATGGGAAGTTAAGTATACCCTGACTAGTAACGAAATCATGTTTCAGCCACCGTATTTACAAATGAATGAACGGTGTCTTGCTGATGGTTAAGTTGGTAAAAATCGAATCGCTGAAACAGCGCGAGGGCATTCTAGATATCAGATATGCATCTAGAGTGGAATAAACCGGATATTAGTAGGCTATATCTGATGGACTCTATTTTGAGATGTAAAAGATATTCATTTGTATAATTCATCCGATTTCCAGAACACACCTCGTGCATTATATTCTTGGCATAACAAATTTTTCAGCCTCTAAAAGACACTTCGAAATTAATCCAGTCCGATAATAATCCAGTCAAATAACATTAAAAAAAATACTAACACTAATATCGTAGGCACATACATACACATAGAATCCGGTGAAAGAACTTATCACATCTTGGCTCCAAAATTTTCTCTGATAACCAAAGATTTATTGAAATGTCACAAAGTCAGTCTCATATAGTTATCATACTCGGCGTCCGTACAAAATGGCGCTGCCACAATAAATTTTAATTAATGACGCCAAAGGCATTCAAATCAAATAATTTTAATGGTGTGGTTGCCGAAGCTGTAGTGCTGAGGTTGTAAATAAACTGATACTCGTACATATGTCTGTGTGTGTGTTGACACGATTTTCCAGCGCAAAGTAATTTTCCACCAACGCCATGCCATTTTGTCACCTTGTGTCAGTTGCTTGACTCCAGTTGACTTCTTGCAGCAGCAGCAGCAGCAGCCGCAGCCGCAGCCAAGAAGACAAGCGATCAAACCAACAATTTAGCAAGCAAAAGTGAACGGACTGATGGACAAAGTGGCAATGGGTCACGCTAGCCGAGGCGTGCAGCAGGCGGATGGATTGCCGGGCATTACGATAGGGAAACTCATGCTGAACAAGTATAAACTTAATATTATTTTAAACAGAAAATTGACAAATGTACAAATGTAAGTACAATTGAAAATAAGTATGTATGCATTGTATATGTGTATGTATGTATGAATGTAAAATAAAAATAATGTAATTTTATTAGTTCGGTTTTCACTTACAGTCTCGACTCATGCCCGCCGACAGGCATTTCTTGAAGCGACAATACTGGCAACGGTTGCGATTCAAACGTATCACCAGACATTTACCATCGCGCAGACAACGGTACTCGATTTGTTTTTGTATGCTGCGGCGAAAGAAACCCTGCGAAGTGAATTTGTATAAAATAAATTTTAATTTAAAGCAAATACAAGCAAAAATATATTTATTTCATTGCTGTCCATGGAGTTATTTCTATATTTCTCAATATATGTGTGTGTGTGCGTGTGTGTGTATGGGTCTTGATCTCACCTTACAACCCTCGCATGAGGTTACACCATAATGGTAGCCGGACGCCTTGTCGCCACAAACTTTACACGGCACAAATGATTTCGTGACACTGTTGGAGTTGGAGTCCGCTATGGCAAATTGCTGATCTGCAAGTGGAGTAAGAGACAAATAACAAAAGTGTCTATTAATTTTCCAAATTCGTTGTTACTGTTAAATGAAAAATTACATGGCACATGAATCTATTTAAAAAAATTACATATAAAGAGTGATTTTTTTGGCATTTGGGTTTCAAGAAGAAATAAAACGCATAAACTTAAATGTTTTGGCCAGGAATTTAGCTTTATTATTAAGATAAGCCCCACGACCAAAAATAATATGGTCATCAAAAATTCGCCTTAATAAATGGTTTATCCCAACGGCTGAAGGGATGTAGCGCCGTCTTGTGGGAACCAACGGCCGTTCACGTCAACATCCTTCAACAGCAATAGCCTATTTGGAATTCATAAGCCTACACAGTTAGTTTTTTGTGTGGAATATAAGATGCTGCGGCTTAAGATAATACCAAAAACGTGCATCTTTTTAAATATTGGCCTGGTAAGTCCAATGGATGGCTTTGGTGAAAGATACACATAAGAGCAAGTCGAAATCACGATAACACCAGACCACACATATCGATCATAACTCGCCAGAAACTCGATAGCTTGGTTTGAAGGCTCTTTTCTTTCACCTTATAGAGCTGGCCAAGTGATTGTCGCTAGTTCATGTCCATAGCGAATAATCGCGCTGCTAACGAATTGACCACAAGCGAAGCACAGGATAATTCTAACTATGGTGAATGAAGCCTATATAAGATCACAAACAAACCTTATATTTAAAGTGATCACAACCCAATGCGTACTGTAAAATCTTCTCTAATAAATTCTTTGATTGTGGTCTCCATAAATTCATAAGTTTTCTGTCACAGATCGCATTTTCGACTTTCTTCTAGCTGAAACTCTTAGCTAACTCTAGGAAAATTTTCTTTTTTCCAAATCGGCAGTGTCGTCCAGGTTCTGGTACATTAAAAGGCTTTCCATTTTCGATAATTTTTTATTATAAACACATAAACACTAAGACATCGTCGAATATATATATATATATGTATGTGTGAAGTACATCCGCATGATTTACGTTATCCATTATTTGTCTTCTGGAATTACTTTAAAGTACGCGTAACCGTTATCATTAGACATCTCATATGATGGCAATTATTATTGAATGCAGCGATGGCACAACAACAATAACCTAAGCTCAAGAAAAAATAAGTCAATAAGGAAACTTGCAAACGACTTATTGCTCTTCAATATCAATTACAAGTGGTAGCGCAGTCTAACATAAAAGCAGCTTCCAGTATATGGAACAAGTGCCAAAGGGCAAAGAAAATTTCGCTCAAGAAAAATTGATTGCGAAACTGGAGAGGCGGAAATAAATTACATTCACTCATTATTGCATCGCTAACGGATGCTCAGGTAATCAGCAAACTGTAATACATTTGTATGTATAGGTGTATTTCTGTAGGTACACTCGCATATTGGCTTTCCGCTTTGACTGACAATGCGTATGAGCAACATTTCATATGCATTTACTACATACTACATACATACGGATATACTCGTATATATATTTATGCGTCTAAATGAATGAAATGAATGATCGATTGTCTTTCAATAGAAATCATAATCAGCAGTGAATTAAATATTATGTAGCGTTTTCAGAGCATTTGTAGGCCCATAAAGCAAAGGAGTGTTGGCGCATGGCAAAGAAACTCAAAAAACAAACTTTCAAGACAGCGCTTGTCATTCAAAACCAAAGCCGAAATTACATGAACTGAACTTTGAATCGTTTCCACAAGCACCGTATTCGATAGATTTGACTGCCAGTGGCTACTGCTTTTTGACAGGTTTAACTTAAGTAGCTATTAAAAAGGTATAGGGAAAGCATATCAAGTGAAGAGATTATTGCTAAAGCTGAGACCAAAAAAACATTGCAGATGAATAAGCCGAACTCCTTTGTTATTTCGTGGGCTGTAATGTGGCAACTAACGAACTGTCAAAATATGTTTTGTTACAATTAAAAGTCAGGTATTTATGAAAATGGATCGTCTAACAACCGCATAACACATTAAAAATGTTTCATGCTTTAATAGCAATTGGTAAAATTTTAGTGATATTTTGAGGAACTGGACTGCCCTTAAATAATTGAAAAGAGACCATTGCACCCACAAAAAACTTACTGTCCGATAGGCTCCTTGCTGCGGAGGTTTGGTTGGATCTTACTTCTTACGGCGAGACTGTCACTGTCATTAGAGAGGGTTATGATCGTATGATGGTGCCACATACCACATGTCATACACCACGAGCAAATATGGCTTTATAGCAAGAGAAACTTTCCGGCCACGTAATCTCTCTTCTTGTCGTGTTAATTGGACACCGAGATCGTACGGTTTGACACCGTTGGACTTCTTGTTGTCGTGCTAAGCGAAATACCGCGTATACATGGAAAAATCTTTAACTCCAGCTGTTGGCTGAGATTCCGCCCATTATATGTCAAGAAGTGGTCGAAAATTTCCTCGAACAGACCGAAATTTGCAGAAATTCGCGGGGTCGTCATGGGAATGATGTAGTGTTACAGATATAATGCACAGTTCAAACTAAGTAATAAAAGAGGAACTTCATAAAAAAAACGTGTATGGTCGGAGCCGCAAAATGCATAAATACGTTCCTCTACTTTTAAGTGTCCCGTGCAAAAATCGAGAAAATACAATAAGAATGCTTATCGTTTTTCTAATCAAAGTAAAAATTTAAGGATTTCCTTATTGCAGGTCCTCATTTTTAAGATTAGAAGTATAAGCCAATGACCATGATAGAAAAACTTGGGTCGACGACAGACTTCAATCAAAGTTGATGAAAAAGAAAAACCCCAAATCAGATCGCTTTAAGAGAAAATCTCCAAAGAACTAGTTATATCAACTTTCCGGTTGCAATTGAGGCTTTCCTTTTTTCGACTTCCCTACAAATAGTTTCTTAATTCGTGGACACTTAAAAACAAAGTCTACATATGTGACTATGTGTAGACCATCAATACATTTTCAATCACGTACACGGAACATATAACTTCTGCACCCACTCAGTGCATTGAGCTACCAATGAATCACTATGCGTACATATGTACATAAGTATACATACATACATGGGTTTGTATGAGCGACACTCACTCGATTTGTGCTCCTGTAGCATGCCCCAAGTGAGTTGCATACTATCGTTCATTGAACTCGGAGAGTGGCAAATTGCAAATCACAAATTTTTTCTACAAAATGTATATAATATAACATACAATACATACAATGACACACATACATATGTATATAAACAAGGAAAATGAAATAAACGAAAAAAGAAATTAAAGCGAGGAGTAACTGTATACTTCGTTTGTGAAAGGGAAAAAGTTAATTCCCAAAAAAAAAAAACTCGCTCGCCCAACAACAACAACTAAAATAATGTTTTCTAATAGATCTGTATGTATAAATGTATATAGAAAAGCAATATATACAAAAATCACTTTTGGCCATAGAAACGGACTCAACGCTGAAATGGAGAAACCAAAAGAGCACAACTTCAACTTAACGGTCTGCTGCCCTTTCATCCGTCACTAGCCGCGCACAGTGGACGTTGATGGCTTCGAATGTGGTGAAACATACTCGTATATGTCGCTTGGAAAACGGTTTGTAAAAAAAGAATTGACGACCATACGGAAGCTGCATTGGCATTTGCTCGCTCCTAATACATGCCCCCCAGATGCATATTGGAAGTCCAGCACTTGATGGTATCTATAGGGCTAAAGAAGCTTACATCTTGCATTAACTGTCAAATTTATCTTTTAACTGGGTCTCAATTAGGAAGGTCGGCCTTTGTAGGGAACTACCGTTGTTCTATTTCCTTCATCGGTTGGCCTGCCCCAATTGGAACCGTGAGTTAACTTGCATATTGAGACTTGAGACTGCCATTTAGCATTCAATACATCTACGATTGCAGAGCGCTGCTGAGTTGGGTAGTTGTCGTAGCTCTAACCCAAAACTGACTTGATTGAATTGAAGTTAATCCAACTGAATCGCAATTTGCTGTTAGCAATAAAAATAAATTGATTACCTTCATATTGGTTCCCATTTAGTTGGGCTGAGGTCAGTTGAATTGAGTGAAATGGAGCTGAGTTCATTGGAGTTGCATTGAGTTAAGTCAGCTTACCTTGAGCTAAGCGGAATTGAATTTAGCTTTCTCTAAGCCAGAAATATTTGTCGGCCAAAATCCTTGCCAAGAAGTTCTCGCTAGATCGTTGACCAAATAGTTGGAGCTCATAAATTGAAAATATTGTAAATATCAGACACTGTACGTTGCCTCAACGATCTACACGGCACTCGTGTTCCGCCCACGGCGACTTCCGTCTAATTCAAAATGTGGTGCTTGAGAGTCCAACTAGGAGTGACGTACACACGGGCAGAGTAGCTGCCGAAAAAATTTGAATTTCAAATGATAGACACACTTTGGTTGTCTGTGTCTCAAAAGAAGCAACAACAACAATACTAACGACAATCACAGCAGCGCCAAAAAGGCAAAAGTGCAAAAAGCATAAGAATGGCGAAAAGCGAAAAGGGAAAATTGTCATGTATATGTATGCAGCAAACTAACTGCAAGTCGTGTGGCAAGAGGCAAATGAACTGTGGTGAGTGGCGAGAGTGTGTTGCAACCAAATGAAGAAACAACAATGCCACACCTACAACTTTGCATTTTGCATGCAATTTTTCATAAACATACATACAGTAACATAGGCGCCTATGCATGTACAGTTGAGTAGTTGCAACCGGCGACTGACAGGCAGGGAAACGAGCAATAACAGCAATAACCTCGTTATGGCAAGTACGTAGTTAGCTAGCTACAACCATGTTGCAAGCAATTGTTGCAGTTGCATTTCCTTTTCATTGTTGCTTATCTCGACAAATGCATCAATCGCGACGTTCGCGACCACCAACTCAACGCCAGGCAACTCAACCCAAGTCAACTCGTAACTCAATTCATGCCACAAGCGATTGCAATGTACTTGCATTCCACCGTGTTGCCGCCACTTCAAATGCCACTTGAATGCAACATTGTTTTGCAATTCGTCTTTGCATCAGTGTATGTCTGTACATACGTGTATGTAGGCAACTTTATGGCGGCGGTTAGGCGCAGCCCTTTTTTGTGGCAACCACATTGCTGCCGCTGCTGCTGCTGCTGTCGCCGCTGCTCTGCCTAATCTGCATAATGGAAACATTAGAAACCGTTGTCGTTGCTGTCGAAAGTCTCTGCTACAACAACAGTTACAACAACTATGCACATATGTATGAGCTGCAACGCGCAAACTGTCCACCGTCAGAGCTTCGGGTTTTCCGACTATGCCACTGCACATACACGTGTACTAGGAAGTGAAGTGAGTACTCGAATAACCGTCAAGTATCAACAGGCCATATGACTGTGTTGCATTTATAATTATTGCCTTCCCTTGCTATTGGAAATTTGCAAACATATATACATATTTACATATTTATACATATATATGTGCAGAGGCAGTATAATTTTAAAGAAAAAGACGGTGCGAAAGAACGGTAATAAACATATGCCCTTTTTGAAAAGGAAGAGGGCTCGAGCTTCTTGTAATCTGGAAAACAATTTTTGAAAAGTAAAATTTTGAAAGTTTCTTTGACGACAAGTACAAATTCATATACTCGATTTCACCTGAGCGTTGGCTTTCCAACGGAGTGTAGGTCTTCCTCTTCCTCTGCTTACACTGCGGGGATACTGCATCGAATACTCTCAAAACTGGAGTATTCTCATCCATCCGCCCCACGTGACCTAGCTAGCGTAACCGCTGTCTCGTGATTCGCTGGATTATGTCAATGCCATTGTATAATCCTTACAGCTGCAGTATGTATTTGCCGCTAGCAATGCACAGAGAACCATATATCTTCCAAAAAGCTTTCCTTTCAAAACCTCCCAACGTCGATTCATCGGATGTTGACACCGTTAATGCGTCCGCACCATACAACAATCACTCACTTGAGCGACTTGTAGAGTGATCTTCCGTTGGATTTTAAGGCGGTTGTTAAATTATCTACGATCTCCATGTTATGACTGTCAACTGTGATGTAGGACTCGGGTTACGATTGCGATGGCGATGCTTATTTGATGACAGGAGATAGTGAGTCTTGTCCTCGCTCGCTACCAGACCCATTCTGGAAAAAGCAGAACTTGCGGCGCAGTAGTTAAGGTTAGCCTACGCCAGCAGCTGTACACTCTCATAGAAGGTTGTTGTACCTTCTCTACTCTCTGTAGCCCGTATTATTTCCCCCGATATTTGAGTTTTAAAGATAGATCCAAGGTAGTTTCCTTTCTATTGGTAAATATGCAGAAATTCTACAGTCGTGTGAATAAAAACAACTTTTCATCCAGGCCAAGTAGAAATTCCACATCTAAATTAAACTAGTATATTTCTGGTATGAAGCTGATAATAGATGGACAGTTGAAATTTCACAGGACAGTCGCTCACGTGGTAAAAGACTGGATGAAGAAGAAGTTAGTGTAAGAATCCAAACTAGTGACATTCTAGTCAGCAGCTGGAATTTTTTTCTGCAGACAGAGTTGCGGCAGACATCAAGGGCTACGATTAATTTAAGGCGCCAAAAGAAGTTATTAAATTTTTCACTCTGCGGCGTCTAAGAGAAAACGGAAGTCGTCGCTGTTGCAACAAAAACACTAACAAATTGTCGACATGCACAGTTTTTGGTGTAATTAACAGTTACCACAAAACTCACACTCACATATACACGTACATATGTGCGAAAGTAACAATTAACTGTTGCAGTCGAGCAGTTGTTAAATGATTTTTTTACATGCAACACAATAAATATGAGTTCGCCGAGTTGGTGTTGGCGGGTGCAAAGTGAAAAACAGGATGAAAAAGTTTAAAGCAACTACCCTGTAGGAAATTTCATTTCTGATTTGTTCATTTTTTTAGAATCCCTCAAGATTTCGGGCTTAAGGGAAACTTCTACACTTGTATTGGGAACTTTTGTATCACAACTGGTCTAAGAGTTAAGTTTTCAAAAATTTTACATCAATTGGTCAGGTTTTTTGAACGATGAACTATCGCTTAAAAAACTCTTCGCAAGGAACCTGAAGGGTTTTGAGCAACTTTTTTAACTCCATAGATAAGCTGAAGGCAATAATAGCGAAAAGGATCACCACAATCATACTTAATCCTCTGAGTAGTCGAGTCGAGTCGAGTGATCGGCCGAAACGAGGTCCAATGTAATCAGAGCAGACTCTCTAGTGGCTTTAAATATGTTTTAAAATGGTAACTGCAGAGAGGAGACTGTATATTGTACCACTAAATTATTGTGGGCCCGCATGGATGGATGGAAAACAGACCAGACTGTTACTTGCATTAAACAAAAGAGAACTTAGCTTTCTTATTATGAGTGTATTAGCGCGGCATCTACCCCTGGCGTATCATTTCCATAACCTAGGTAAACTCAAATCGCCTGTGTGCAGATCATGGGTAGATGATGACGAAGCACTACCTTTGCAAACGTTCGGCCTTCAACCGAGACGTGAACTTCCACGATCAAACCTTTCGCAAACGCTTTGATAGGATACACAGGAGAGCTCTATGAGCCTTCTCAATGGCTTAGATTCGGCAGCTTGCGCTCAGATTTTGAACATCCCTGTTTCTACCAACCAGCAGACCAGCCAAATGTGGAATGCGCTGAGGACGATTATTCCGAACACGAATCGAAAAATCTAAATTAATTGTCTCTTACAACTTTTTTCTTCGAATTCGCTGCGATTTCGAGACGAACACTTTTTCTCTGGTATGATGTCGCCTTCGTGTTCGTCTTTATTGAGAACGTAAGAGTCACCATCATACTCCTCATTGCATACTATAAGTAATTTTTTCTATGGTAGAAGAGAAAATGTGAGGAAAATGACAATTTGTCGATAAAATCTTCTGTGATTAAAATAAATTATTATTTGTAATTTGAGCAATAGTTTTTTATGTGAAATTTCAATTTTCGGCTGGGCAGTTGTTTCGATGGCGCTTAATAAACAACATAATCTTTATGTGAGTATAAAACGTGACAATAACACTGCAGCGCAAGAGGAAAATACAGACAACCGGAAAATACGGAAAACACACTGAATAAATGAGTACATAAAAGTAGTAGAAATAAATTAGTGTTCAGGTGAAGGCGCTTGCATGCAACACACTGCACGCTCAAGCGGCTGTCGTTCAACATGAGTTCATTAGTGGACCGCAGTTTAGCGCTCATAAAAGCGACCAAACGCTGCCAAGCGCCAAACCCCAAACGCCAGCCGAAAACCGCAAACACGTCAAGCTGCTGCTGCCGTCTGCTTGCCAAAACTAACAACAACTGTGCACCAGTGTTGCAACACCGCGCAAATTGCATGCGTACAGCTGTGGCAACTGCTGCTCCTCAGGTTGGCCAACATGTTGCATGCTGCGTCATGTTCCCCAAAAAAGGAAGCGGAAGCATTTTGTGCGGCTGTCGCGCTGCCATCTCACAATTGATGGGTGAAATTCCTGCAAATAAATAATTTAATAAAAAAATAGTCCTCATATGAATTCGAATGGATTTTGCAAAACGCTTATGGAGGACAGTCACTAGCATCCATTGCACTTCCTCTGCTTAATTTTTCCATTTCTCCATTTTCACACTTTCCCGATTTTCGTGGACTTCCGGCAATGGAAATGCTACCCGATGAATTGGTGGCGTCATTGCCCTGGGTGAAGCGACTTCGAAACGGGCGGCTTCAGCTTGCACACGTGCACACGTATAAGCACGCAAACAAAATAGACATGCAAGCAATCACATTACCATACACACAAATTCAGTAGATACATACATATGCACAAATAAATATTTTAAAAAGTGGATCGTTATTTCATGGGAATCGAAGTGTGATTTCCTGGTTATGCAATTGTTAAGTCAAATAAAGACGCGGTAAAAGGTAAACAATTACGCGAGTATGCATATGTATGTGTTCGAATGTGTAGGCAGAAAGGGGGTTAAACAGAACGGAAGAAGGGAAGGAAATTGGCCGACGCACTCCAGCTGAACGAGTAGGGAAGATCTAGGGCGAGTGGCAACCAAAAGGAGACATTCGGCTACCCAAATGGCGCAGGTATTTTCGGACTGATGCTGCCTAATAAGAACTCCAGTGGATCTTTTGAAATAAGCCTACCAAAGTTTGTATCGAAAATATGAAGATCACGGGATTAATCCAGTAGGCGTTTGGTGTAATGTTCAGAGCGTATCGAGTTCAACCAATAAATGGCCACCATGGTAACTGGGTGGCTAACAGTGCACCCTATCAAATAAGGATAGAGTCAGAGTCCAGTTTAGAGCAACCACTAAAATATTCCTTAAAACTCCTTTTCGTTGGACTAAGTGGTTAATGGGATGCAGTTACAGCCACTAGGCTATATCCAATTCATATTCTTGCATTGTCATAACTCTTACGCAAGGTGCAGAATCGAACTCGCGTAGAGCCTTGGATCGCGACTGAAAGAGAGGAAGCTTCAGCGGAGCATTTTCGAAATATTCGGCAAAGGCGTCCGCTGAAGTCTAATTGCATTGTCTCTTCACTAAGGGTGTAGCTGCGAGCCGACGTTCAGTAATGCCTTGATTTCAAAAGTTCTGTGGTCAGAAAACGACGCCCGACGAAATCCATTTTGATCGATAGCAAATCCCACAACCTTGGCAGGCTCGCTTGATATCGCGCCATCAGACTAGATTCTTGCATACATACATTCTTACCTCATAATAAATTAATAGAAATAGTTAAAAACAAAAAAATAAATTAAAAAATGTAAGTATAAAATTGTTTAGTGAAAGTTTTATACAAAAGCCTCGGCCAGTTTCGCTGCTGTCCTTCATGTGCAGACCTTCCCTTACTTTTTTATCTATCCTTATGTACGTGTACTTGTGAAATATCAATAATGTGCTCGTAAATACCAACAAATCACATATGGATGAGGACATATTTACCCTGTGACAGTTTCACATTAGCCAATGTAGAGTTGGTGATGGCGATGCACGAGTTCGCTGTGTTCGAGTTGTTTGCTGCTGCTGACGCTGCTCCTGTTGCTGCTGCTGCTGCTGTTGAATGATGGCGCTCTCCAAGACAATGCTCAGCAACCACCGATAGTATTGTGGATCCGTTACAACGTCCAATGTTGTGTCCACCGGCACTTGCCGCGATGTGGCCGTTGTGGCTGCAGCTGCTGCCGGCCGACGAATTTGAAGAGCAGCCGGATGAGGACGACGAATGCGATTGACAGAATGAATGGAGACTGGTGTTGGAGTACAATGTACCTCCACCATTGCCACCACCACCTCCGCCAAGCGCTATGATATGTGAGGCTGCTGTGGCTGCTGCGACACTGTTGCCGTTGCTCGATGCAATTGGTGATGACGAAGATACTGACGACGATGATGATGATGATGACGATGACGAGTGCGATGATGAGGCGGGGGTTGATGCCGCTGATGACGATGAATTGACGGAATTGCAGGAGATGCCAACGTTGATTGATTGTGTTGGGGTATTACTGCTGCAGTTGTTGTTATTGTTGCTGTTCGCAGAGGCAGCTAAATAAGCAACGCAATTAGTAGTGATGCCTAAAGATGGAGCGATGGAACCGTTTAGTGAGGACGATGACGATTGATGTTGTTGATGCTGCTGATGCTGCTGATGAAGTTGATGCTGATAAAAGGACGTACAATCATCTGTCAACAACTTTAGAGCATCATCAACTTCCGCATTCGAATTGCAATTAGAATTGCTTATTGAGCTCGCAATGAGTGTTTGTGCTGCGGAGGCTGAGGCTGAAGTTGAAGTTGGAGCTGAGGTTAAGGTTATTGTCGTCGTAGACTCTTCACTCAATGTTTCAGCCTTTAGCAAGTGTGCTCGTGGTGGTGGTGTGGGTGTGGGTGTTGAGCTAGTCGCATAGGCGTCTGATTCAAGGGAACCAGTTTCGCTGAAAGCACCTTGCGTCGACGAATCGTCGGGTGTGTCAAAGAAGTGCAAATTGAAATCGGAGTTGGCATCAAAACTTACTTCAGGCAAGGGATCGTCGTCATCGTCAATGTCGTTATCGTTGTCGTTGTTGTTGCGGTCCTCAGTGTCGTCATTCCCGAAGCCGGTATGACCATTTAAACTGCTATAAGACTGACGTTGTTGCCGAGGATCGACCTGATGTACGAGTAGATTCTGGTTGTTGCAATGTTGGTGGGTGGAGCTGTGCTGCAGTTCACGATTGATGTCGACGACACCGGCTATGCCGCCGGGCGTGTATAGATTATGTGTTTGGTTACAATTATTCGTGCTGTTGTTGCTGTCAACGAGACTCGAATGGATATGCGACTGTTCCAAATCTATTTTGAATACATCCATGTTTCGCTGTTGGCATCCTCCATTGTCAACATTGTGCGGATGTGTGATTTCAGCAATGCAAATATGACGTTAACAATGAGGACTAAATTTTGGTTGATGACAAACAATTTTTCACCCGCAGAAACTCGTAGTTGGGCTCTAGTTGAAAGTATTCACACACACCCATGTACGCGTGTATTGTCCCCTCGGAGTTCAGTCTCATGAACGACGCGCAACACGCACAATTTTTCATACAATGACACACACAGATTTGTACCGCTAGAGTTTATTCATAGTTTTTTTTTTTTTTTTTTTGATGAAAAATAATATATCAATTGATGATTTTTATAAATTGTTTGTTTCACTCATCTGACTTGAGAGGCTGCGGAAACAACAAGGCTTGGACGAGTACTTCAGAATCACCGAGGGATCACAAACAGATACTTACGGAACGCCCTTAGTTCGCCACATGCGCTAGTATATTTCACTTGATTGGCGTTTTTTTCTGCTCTGCAAAAAATACAGAGTGAACTGAATTGGTGAAGTCGACGGAACTTCCCATGAATGCTGAATAGTTTCTGTTAACAATCTTGTCTACCGGCTTAAGTAATATCAAAAACACTGAAAACTTGATTACTTTCGCAGATATGGATTGCCAAAAAAAGGTAAAGGGTTGGGACAAAAAGAATTAAGTTTTCAGTACTATAAAAAATAATTATAAAAGTTACTGTAATACTTAACCCATTTCCTGTTAACTTAAGCTTCTGTATACAAATTTAATGGAACTACCCGATAAATTAATTTTTTGGTAAAAATTTCTATTTAATTTAATAAATATATATGTAAAGCAATGAAAAGCTAACTAATTTTAATGGAAAAGCAAAATTCACTCTAAAAATAGTTGTTTATCATTTTAATCAAGTGAACATTTACCAGATTTAAACGAGCCTGGTGGAACAGATACTAGTTGCTCACTAGTGTGCTACTAGTTATCAATTTTACACCAAAAAAAATCTTCAATCAATTTCAGCTACTTACTAACTCATTCATAACATTTTGTACCGCTATTTCTGCATGTAGAAATTCATCCTGCATAAATGAACTGGTTTTTAACTACTTCGAAGCTGATGCATAATTATAGCAACCCCCAGTGTTGAAAATTCAAATCTGTAACTTAACGGCCGCGTTAGTTAGATCAAAAGTTCCGAGCTCCGAGTGAATTTCTGACGCATAATAAAAAGCTTCTCTATAAATATCTCATTCTTTCGGAGGCGGCTTAGAACGAAATGTAAAACTTTCTTACGCGGCTCCTAAGGCGAAAATTTTATGTTTGTTATATGTATGTATGTACAACAGGTGGCAGCCATAGCAGTGTGGCCAGGAAGCGAGTGAATTTTGGATATAAAATATAAATATTTATCATATAAATCTGTCAGCCTTTCTGAGATGGTGGTCCTTACACCACCTAAATCAAGATTGAAGGAGGAGCTCAGCCAAAAATTACTTCAGTGGCAATGAGGCATCAATTCTATATACATATATTATATGTATAACTTAACAAATTATTAGAGATAAACTATTTAGTTTTGAAGCGCAAAATAGTGGTATTCTGGTCAGCAAGTAGTTTCTTTCCCTGCTGGGTGGCTATGAGCAAAATAAGACAATGTAATGGTTGACTGGCATTACAACCATCTCATTACGAGTCTGTTGTTATTGAGCTAAGTTAAAAGTTTATTCATATCAAGTTATCACGGATTATTGCATTTTCAAGTAATTGGCTCTCGCTTGAAATACTCAAAATTGAAAAAGATCGGTTCCAATTTTCATAAAATCGTGAATCAAATCAATACTCTGTTTTGCGTCTTGATAATTATGCCACCTTTTTGTAATCTCAAATTTACATGCTCTCAATAAATTTTGTATTCTTTTGATTAAATTTTTAGAAGCTTATTTAGCATGTCATGTCATGGCGCCGCCGGGCGACTAAGCAAATTTTTTTTTTAATATTAAGTATCCTCCGATAGTAAAAGAAACGCATAACCATACGGGCGCTCCCGTCACGATCTCCTTTTCGGGAATGTTGAAAATAGTTTTTTTCAAAGATACCAAGGAGAAGTAACGGTGAAAGCTTCTTAAGTGCCGCAGTGGGCGTATTAGCCATATTTTAATTAAAACCTATTATTAAAGAAAATGCATATTGCACTAACAAAGAGCGCGGGTTTCGCATACATACATACAGAGGAACTTTGCTGAGAGTCCGCCTATGACTACCAAATATTTCTTAAATGCAAAAAGTAGTTCTTCGAGCATTTGAAAGTAGTGGAAATATGTAGTTAATAGGTTGGGCGAGGGGCTTGGGTATATGTATATACATATATAACTAATTTACACAATTCGTTCTGAATTACAATATTGATTTCGTAAGTCTAACTTTTTTTAAATAACATAAGAATGTATGGAAATGTCAAGTTTTCAAAGATTTGGGGAAGATTCGCCGGGGAGAGGGCTAAGCAGGAGCAGGAGCAAGTGGAGGACATGTTTTTGGGTTTAAACTGGGGCGAAATTAAACTTGTATACACTTCCTGAATGATATGTGTTCATTAATAAATGTCAGCATATTCCTTTTTCATTTATCCTTTCCTCTCCCTTGCGCCTTTAATCTTTAAGTATTCTGCAGATTTAGTCTAAAGTATTTTTATTATTGTTTTAACAGTTGCACTTAGCTGGCACTTCCTTTATTTTGTTTTCACTTCTTGAACGTAATTTTCACGCAGCACTTAAAACTCTTGAAATATTCCCGTTATCTTCCTCAAAATTTTCACAAATAAGTGACTTTTCAACTTGTAAATGCTTAAAATGCTAAATTGTTCACACAGCCAAGGCGTCGCTCAGCTCTTAAAGCTTTAAGCACGCGCAAATTATAAAAAGAACACAATTGGAAAAGTCGCAGCTACAAAGATCGCGTCACGCAGTTACAGTAAATTATTTATATATTTTTTTGTTTATACGTTTAATCATTAATAATTATTGTGTTGCCAGAAACTCTATTCTGGACTTAATGTTTAACTTAAGCACATCCGTGCGCGCGCGCGTCCACTGATGGTGAGGAGTAGACGAAGTCCAGCTTCCTCGCAACATACGCCACTGAGATGCGTATGTACTACGGACAGTTGTATGAGCGGAAGCTAAAACCGTAAGTGCGGAAAAGTCGTTGTCGTTACGCGACAACTAGTACTGAACAGGCTGCGAATTAGCGTGCTAGCGAGCCAAGCGTTTGCGTCGAAGCGCTCCAAATGCGCAAACGAAATCCAAACCAAACTGTAGAACCTACGGGTGTATAGAAAGAAGTATAAGAACAAGAAGTGCAAGAATAAGAACAAGAATTCGATTCCCTGCTCCCGAACTCCCGAAGTCCCGAGTTGGCGAGCGAATGGGCGCGAACTGGCGCGAAGAACTAACCACACCAGAAACAGCAGACAGCAACAGCAACAGCAACAACAACTACAATAGTAACAGCTACAGCAACAATAGCGGCAGAAAATATCGACACTCACATACGTGTACGCTACGTATACATATACAAACATACACGCACCACAGAAATGCCAAGAAACTCCATTGCTGGTGTTGTTGTCGGATCGTAGCTCTGCCATTGCTGCCAACTGAACGGTTAGTATGTGTTGCTGTTGCGCTAGCTGTTGCTATCGCTGCCACTGCTGCCACCGCTGTTGTTCTAGCGACCACTCAGCCCTAGCAACTCCTCGCGTACGCTACCGTCGTCTTGATCGCCGCAATGCAGCAGCTTTACATTGTAACCCGGTCCCGGCTACACCGCGCTGATTGTCTAAGACAGCTAAACTCCGCCATACCGAGCGCTGTGCTGAGCAACAGTTCCTGGTTGTTGTTGCCATATTTATTCGCATTGTTTTTGTTGTTGTTGTTTGTCTGTTATGTGCTTTTATCCATCTCATCTATCGGTAGTAGTAGCAATAGCAGGCACGATCGGCTGCAGAGCGGCGCGGAGGTGGAGGGATGCGGGCTGAGAACAAGTCCCTTATAACGAAACCATTCCTCACCAGCTCCCTTCCCCTCCCCTCCCCTCGCCTCCCCTTCTCACCATTCGCCTGGCTAAAGAGGAAAAATCAGCAAAGAGTCAAGCAACTCTCAATTGGAACTTTTCCTGTTTTCCCTCAACAATCGTTGTTGTTGATATTGCTACTGTTGTTGCTGCTTTCTAGTCGCCATTGCTTTTTTTTTATTTGTGCGCCGACTACTATTTTCAATTTCTATTTCACAAAAAATGAAAAAAAAAAAAACCAAGAGAAAAAGAGCAAACGCAACACAGTACCAAAGCAACAACAACAACAATAGTAGCAGCAAAAAAAAAGAGGGAAAACAAATAGTAAAATAGACAAGGCAACAACTTCAAGACTCAAGATCAATTCCACACACACACACACACACACATGCGCACTCAGTAAGCTATTTTCACTCACATGCGAGAACCACAAACACACACACACACACACATACAAACTCACACAATCAAACAACAGTAGAACCGTTACTGCATGAGTGGGCTGGCAAGGCGGCAGACAGATCATTTGCTGACACTCCCTCTCCTCCCGCTATCTCCTTCCACCTCTTCATCCGCTAGTCCATCCATCGTCAGCTAGCCGAAGTTCTTTAACTTCTGTTACAACTGTTTTTACTTGCAATTTTTCTGTTTTAACTATTTGTTGTTGCAGTCGTTGTTGTAATTGTTGTTGACTTTTCTTGTTCTATGACTTTTTAGTTGCTCTCCGCTCAGCACAGCTCACAGCTCACAGTCATAGCAATTGAAGTTGAAGAAAGTGCATTGAAACCCGCTGCCAATTGAAATGGCTGAACAAGAAAAAGGAAAAACAAGTAGTTGTGGTAGTAATTGCTGTAGATGTGTGCGAAGAAGAAGAAGAAGAAGAAGAAGAAAATTCAACGAAGCAGGAAGTATTTTTGCGATTAGCGGATAATTTCATTTTCTGGATGCGATGAATGCAGTCGAACAAGAATTGAGCGCCAACGTTCACTTATCAACTGCACAAATATACACATACACATGTGTAACATATATACACGTATACCCGTACAGCTTTTACAAGAAAGCATACACGGCTTTGTTGTGTTGAGAGCATTCCTTCTGGGATCAATACCCGACAGTATTTCTGATAGAAGTGGGCGGACGGCCAAGAGAAGGAGGCAACATCTAGCGAGTTTAATAAAAATTAGATAGACTCTCC